AGCATTGAATGACAACTGTAAATTTCAACTAGACAAGTATGCACATCCTTGTATTATGAATTGGTGCCCACTGACATCATCATATGCAATGCCTATTACAATAAAATGAATCAGTGTAAACTTCAAAGCACTCAATAGTAATTTTTTATAATTTAGAAATTGAATATACATGCTTGATCCTAGCAAATGCAAGTCAGGCTTGGTTTGTTCAGAGACAAAAATATAAAATCTTCCATTTGCATTATCTTAACAGTAAAACCCAGATATAAGTGTCGATCACTGAAAACCCAAATACAAACTTTAAATTATATTTTTAATGTCCCCAAGAAATTTTAAATGTAAAGCATAGATAAGATCAGAATATGACTTGGAAAAAAAAAAAATAAGATACAGCGTAAAGATCTATTTGAACTGTTAGGAAAACTATTTCGGAAGGATGATTGATTAATCTAGAACTTATACTTTGAGCAAAGCACCTCTGCATATGAATAGAAAATGAATAGATACACAAAAATAGAAAAGGGTCACCAGACCAGAATGTGTCTTCTTACTGGATTTGTTTAACCTCTAAAATGAGGCTATCCTAAGAGAGCTGGAGGCAATGCCAAGATTTATCATCAGTGGGTGTAATCTTAATATAGCACATGCAGATGATACCATATTGATGGCAAACAAGAAAAAATACACAATTTGCTAAACAGGGTAGTGAAGAAAAGGAAGAAGAAAGGACTAACTTTAAAAAGACAGAAAGTATGGTTGTCAGCATAAGAAAAAGCCCAAGATTGGAACTACAATCTGGAGATGTTAACATCAAACAAATACAGAAGTTTAAACATTTGAGAAGTATTTTAACAGAGGATGGAAAATATAACACTGAAATCCAAATGCAAATTGGATTAGCAAAAGATGTATTCCAAAAGCTAAAGTACAAGGAAATAGGAAAATTTCATAGGAAAAAAAGTGCTGAATTGTTACATAATATCATTCTTTTCATATGGCAGTGAATGCTGGGAAATCACCTCACATATAAGAAAAAACTGGAGGCAACAGAAATGTGAATCTACAGAAGGATGCCGAGAATTCTATAGATGGGACATGTAAGCAACAAAGAAGTCTGAAAGAAAAGGGAAATAAAAAAGGCACATACTCAGAACAAGGGATGGCTGAAATTTTTAGGACAGATTAGGAATGAGAGCTAGGAGAATTTGACACTCACAAGGCAGAACAAGGTAACCTACCTGATGAGCTCATTTGAATGAATGGCAGAATGGAAGTCTGATACAAGGGATAAACGTTTCTAAGGGTTACAAGAGATAGGAGGTTGTAGAGAATCATGATAGCCTACATCCTGAAAAGACACAGCATAGATTTTGAACCAAACTAAATGTAAGTAAATTTTTTTTTTCTACAAGGTTCACTCTTAACAAGGCCTGGACACCACTCAAGGTAGAGGGATACATTTAGAGGCCATTTGTGCAGATAAGAGTGAAAGATAACAGTTAACCCTAGATTTAAATAGGTTACAGTTGTAATGATGAGGGAAATATCCTGCTGGAAGTTGGTTCCACATCGGCATATGTTTATATCAAAAAGAGGGTTGGTTCAAGAAGTAACCTGTGCTGACCTCTAACCTCATTCTTGATGTAGGTTCCAAGTCCATGGCAATTTAGGTGGTCATGTTTGGCTACGAAATGTGAATAGCCCCGGACAGTGAACTCCCCTAGTGCCCATAAGGCATTGATACCGGTTTCAGAAAGTTGCAGGTGGTCTGGTTTAGATTGTAGGTGGTGGTGTTCCACTTTTAGAAAGTTGGAAGTTGATGTAGGAGATGGTATACGAGGGGTCTATTTTGTTTAGGTAGGGTTTGCTAGCTTTATTCACTTGTATTTTAATTGGTTTCATGTGTGCATTTGTTGGTGGAAGACTAGTAGGCAGAGAAACAGAAACACTCACAGGCATCCCATGTATAGATAACCTGGAGAGAGTCGTCCAGAGCAGTACTCTTCATCATGGCATTAAGAGGCCCCACCAGAGACTACTGCATGGTCCAGAAACCCTGATATTATACACCTGCTGATAGGATAGCCTCCTTTGGAGTTACTTGAAGGTTTGGATCCCTGACTATCAGACAGATGGTGCCAAAACATAGAAAATGTCTACCTTCAGTACCCTTAATGAAGGGACAATCGAACCAGGAAAAAGAACATGCATGATGCTCCGAATGGACATGTCACTTCTGTCTAGAAGTCAAGGCAACAGAACTCCTCCTTGGATCAGAAAAGATCTAAAGTCACCATGACAAGCTCACTCCTGTACTTGAGGACCTAAAAAGATAAGGGGTGGTTAACGTGGGTTTGCTTGGGGATACATGTGCATTCCCTACCACCATTTGAATTAATATAATAGGTGATTACAAAGAGCAAGTTATCTATTCCAGAGTAAGAGGAGAAAAAAAATTCGGGCTTACAAATGAGAAGCATTATGAATCGGATGGAGGAATTATAGACAAGGAGTGTAAAACAGCTACAACATTTTAAGGTTTTAAAGTTTTACTTATGGTAATTTCTTATTTTTTTGTGGTTAGAACATACTAATTTTTTAAGTATAAAATTGAATTTTTGTTCAATAAAAATCTCCTCAAACCTCTTCAAAATAAGCCTGTCATATTTAAAAAAAAAAAAAATAAATAAATATGTTAAGTAAATTCAGTGTTCGTTCACTTTTAGGTTTCTGTCTTTAGCTCTCAAGCATGTTTAATAGAAATTGAAATAAAAAAAAATCCAAAGTATTTTTAAACAGCTAATCAATAACACTCAATATTTTATGTATAAAATAATGCCCAAGATATGGCTGCGTTGGTACAGTGTCTTGCCTTCTGAAAACAAAAGAATATCTTCTGTTATGCAGAACCCACAACAAAACTGAGGGTAGATTAATGTTTGTTTATGAGCAGATAAGTTAATCGGTAATACAATATCTGCAATCACTAATCAATTATCAAACTGAGAAGATAATGTATACTGTGAACTTCAGGAACTGACGCGTCAAAGACTGATGAAGCTTATAGAATGTCAAGATCATATTAACATGGAAAATAAAGTTACTCAGATATGTGTTAATTTCTTCTCGATTTTTAAACATAAAAATATATGCCACATTTGGTTGTGTTTGTATAATGAAACTCAAAATCCACCACCAAAAGCAAATTAATAGTAACTTTTCTCTTTTTAACTAATGATAGACTGATTTTTCTGTTTAACAGCATATCAACTCCTTATCGGTCATTTAAGGCTGAAATTTAATTTTCTTGAGATCTTGGAAGTAATAAAAATATATGTTATTTTGTTTTCACAGTTGAATACATGATAGACGATATTCAGCTTTTGTGCACACACACACACACACATATATATATATATATATATATATATATATATATATATATATATATATTTTTTATTTGTGTGGACAATTACTAGAGGCATATGGATATGTGTGTTTCATGTTTTGTTGAAGTTATATTTTGGAATACAGTTTGACTTAAGAAATTCTAAGATATATGGATTAATATCATGAAAGAATTCATTCATATTGGTTTTTTGGTAGTATTTTAAATGCATTTGGGTGAAGTCTCTACAGTTTGTTAGTATCTACATATTGCTGCAAACTTTACTGTAGATATGTATTGCCAGTAATTTATTTTGATATAAAAATGTATTGCCGGTATTTTTACTATAAAAATGTAGTTTTATACTTTCAGTGTCTTGTTTTTGTTTGGGCATCAACTATTTGCTCACAGCTTGTACCCTAACAGGTTCTACCACCCCAGGTCAGGGCTGACCTGGGAACAACACTAATTAAAAGGTGGTTCCATGCTTCTCAAAACTTCTAATCTCCCAATCAGAGGCCTTGCTGCCAGATGTAGTTTGTCATACCCAGGTCTACTAAGGATAGACATTATAAGCTGAAACTTATAAAATATTACTCATATATCTTGAATTTTTTTTTATTTTAACAAGAGTTAATATAAATTTTATTGATGAAAATATGATTTGCATAACAAAAGCAAATAGTATACTCATTGAAGACAATCATATTTTGCATATTTAATTTTTCTTCAGCCGTTTTATCCACCGAACTTGAAATTTTCTCTAGTAATGCTTTCAACAGTTTTTCTTCTAATCTATGCCATGTTTTTTTGGTATGTTCTTGCTGAGATTCATTAAAAGTTTAAAAAAATCTTTACTTATATAAGATCATCCAAGTGTCTCTCCCCATCGTACATAAGCCTTGCTGTTAAAGTAAAAACAAAAGATGGATGGAACTTATTACACTACTCAAAACCTCAGGCAAAATGATTTACCAGACCTGCTAATTATTTTATCATTTGTAAACATGCAAACTGAATACATCTTACAGAAAAAAAAAAAGCCTATGTAAAAGTTACAAATTCAGTTTCACCGCTGGAGAGTTTTATTGTTTCTAAATAAGATCATGGTGTATTGTTAATATAAAGCGATAAAGAAGGGCATCCTGAGTTCAATCCTAAGCGAAGCAGCTGTGGCAAATACATTTGCTGCTCTAGTTCCTCTGGTTAAAAGGAGAAATTATGATCAATAGTTTCCTGAAGGTTACCAGAGAAAGAATTGTGTGAAAACCAGATGAAACAGTTTTCAGCAGAATAATGTCACCAAGCCATGAAAAACTAGCCGAAGCAATTTTAAAATGAGATTAAAAAACATTATATAAGAATAGTAATCTCGGTTTTTTTCAGACTGACAAACACTAGCTGTATTCATTCAGGAAAGTAAATTAGCCAAACTTGCTAAAATACACATTTCAAGCCAAATAGTAGTTACTAGTTAGCTTTATACCAAAAGCATGCAGTATAACAGCAAGATTCAGATAGATGCAACAATATTTAACATGAGATACATTGTCATTATTGGTGATATCAATCTTTAATCAAAAACTCAAATTCTGAAATTTTGATCACTTACCAAAAATGCTCTGTATGTTCCCTTCAGTTAATTGTATTGTGTTTGCAGATAGTGGTATGAAAAATGTTGCCAACTGAAAAAATAAAAAAATAAATAATTATATAAACAAAATAAATTTTAAGAATTCAAATTTTGAGAAAAAAATAAAATTCAGGTTCACAGAACATCAAATCCTACATAATAGTTATTCAATACCAAAGTGATCGTCTATTTTAAAATAAAATGTACAAAGTTCTTTAGCGATGTAACCAAGAGTAGACTGGCAAATCTATCCTGAAATAAAAGCCAATTCATATTTACCATTTACATTCAGCGGGCAAATGATTGACAATGAACGAGATTCTTGAACATTCAATACAATACACAAAATTTCCACTGCCTAGTTGTTCTCTAAAGCCATCATTATATATATATTATTTATTTATTATAATTTTATCATATAGACAAAACCATTTTACTCACTACAAAGATGCAACTTGATTTCAGTGCATTTTAACTGAACTTCGACAGGTGAGAATTGAAAATGGTTATAAAGAATCCTGGTTTTAGGCAAGCTGTATGTGAAACATCACTTCCTTTTTTCCATTTGTTTGAGAAGAAAAATATACATTAAAAAAAAAAAAAAAAAAGTGGTGACGGAGTGTAACAATAGTGCTTGTTGAAAGCAGTTTGGTGAAAAATGGATTAGGTTTTTAATGTTGACAGGTCTGTGGAAATTTTTTTGCTGATAAACACCGGTCAAAAGTTTAGGCACATCATCTCACAAGCATCCTAAGAGTGAGAGGTAAGGGAGGAAAGATGGAGATAGGGCATAAAATTACGTTTGAGTAGGTAAAAAATTGTCACCCGTCGAAATGCAGTTGAAATGCACTGAAACCAAGTTGCATCTTTGTAGTGAGTAAAATGGTTTTGTCTATATGATAATTATAATAAATAATTAAGCCCACTTTTAGATTAATGCTGTGAATGTTGGAATTTATATATTACTTTCATTCTCATCTCATCGGAGATTATATATATATATATATATATATATATATATATTTTTGTGTGTAAAATGTAATATGATAATTTTACTTTGTCCAGTGATATATTTAAAAAAAAAAAAAAAAAAAAAATTTGGTTTCTTCTTGAACTCTGCTCAAATAGCCTAAGTAAAGGTTGATAGTAATCAAAGATAATACTTGGGAATAATACTAGAATATGGAAGATAGCCAACATTGTTCTAGATTATGTTAACATGACCAACATAACCAAAGGCAAGACATTAAAAAAAATAAAAAATCTCAGACAAATGATAAAAATTGAATATTTTTACAACAATATGGAATACAAAAGACCATGGGCAAGCAAAATGGTTGCATATTGCTTGCAACATGGTCTTTTGCATTAGCCATACTGGTCTATTGAAAAGGAATAGAGGTTTATCCCTTGTTTCCTGTTTAGGATTTGGTTTCTGCTTCCTTCTAAAGCCTGCTTCAGCTCTGAAAAGAAAAGCTCTGTGTTCCTAATATTTGTTCTTTCCTATGTTGATGTATGTTCACATAGTAACCTTCTACCTTGAATGGCTCTTGGGCCTTATATTGAGAGAACAGTTAAAAAACATACTGGTGTTCATCCAATGGTAATGTAGGATTTTAAGGAAGTTGCTTCTAGAGAATCATAAAGAGAAACGGTATAATATTCCGTCAGGATAGTGTGCGAGACAGCAGATTTCACTGGTGAACAGGCAGAAATAATTACAGTAGAGCACGATAGAAAAGTGTCACCAGATGTGGCATCTTCAGATTACTATTTTTCCCAGTTTTTTTTATAAAGTTCTCTTACATTCATAAGAGAAAACAAACTTAATCGTTGGAAAACTGCAAAAAGGCATCCTGAGCAATTTTTTTTTTTTTTAAGAAAGAAAGAAAAAAAAATTCTGAGAGGACTGAAGAAAGAAATTACCCGAAAGATAACAAAACAGCAAATTGTTGTTCTTTAAATATGCTGAAAAGGTCTTATTTTTATTTAAACTGAATCAACATTTGACCTTCAAATACAAAACAATTCAAACTAAATCAATACAACTACAAATGCCAACAATTACCAAAATCAATTTTCAATCTTTAATAGCATCAGGATTTCTCCAACACAATATTCAAGGTTTTAAATTGTAGTTATTTCATTGCTATACCATACAGAGACTCATGTCAATGCTCCTGACTAAGCTTTTTTCACTATTATCATGAAAGTATCTTGAAAAAACAACTTTAACTGCCCCACAAATTTTTAAACCACTTCAACATCAAAGTATTTTTGTTAACTTTGTTAGTAGCATAATAAAATCACCATTAAAATGTTTAGGAAATAAATGAAGAAACTAAAATATTAAAATTTTAAAAGATAAATAAATACAAAAACATTTAAATTTTCCCTTAATTTTTTTTTTTTTTTTTTATATAAAATCACAACTATTTTCATTTAAACATTTTGGTTAAATCACCTTGAATAATTTTACATGGAAATGTTATTAATTTTTCTTCTCGTAGTAACTATTATCATACATTAAGCATTGTGCTTGATGCATTCATTTTCTATATAAAGAATATTAGTGCATTCCGATTATTTAGAATAAAAAAGTTTTTAAAGTCTTTATGAAAAAAAATTTAAAAAAATGTTCATTCACAATTACTTGCCTCACATCATGACTAAATTATTTATGTTTATCATTTCTTTTTAAATTTTCCCTTGTATTTTCAGTTTAGTTTATAATAAGCAGAAAACAAAGTTAACTGCTAAAAACAACAAATAAATCTAATAAAATTAAGAATTTTGTATAATTCCAGCATTATTCCAAATGAATGTTCTATCAAAAGGACAATGTTAATCCCAAACCTTGATGCACAATGTTATTTCAGAGAAAGAAGAGAGGAAGATTTAAACTATTTCATATACTATGTTGGTCTTTTGTCAGTTCAATGTCCCCTTGGAGATATCTGCAAATGATACATACCAACCTACACCCTATAAACAATACAAACAGCAGAAAGCCATCAAAATTGAACCAAATCTACTTCAATTCTTTTTTTCGTGACATTTGTTTGTTAAATATCTACATAATACAACATTAAATAAAACTTTACAGACATAGGAGAGCACTATTATTATTAATCCTATGTCCCATTTCCTAACCAGACTTACTTAAACTCAACATGCTACATAGTCAAAGAGAGGGTTGGTTGTCACTGAATCTCAGTACAACAAAATGGCCAGCTGATTCTGACACTTTGGCAAGATGGAAATATAGAGTTGGCATAAAATATCCATTAACTGAAGCCTCTGGAGACAGGCAATGCTTGTTAGCTGTCATCTAAAAGAATTATGAGTCACCTAAGCAGTTAGAAGATTTCTTTTCTCCACCACTTCTCTACTCCTTCAACTAATTGACTTCCTCTAACCATTTCTTTTCTTGACAAAAATTGATCTCAACCCAAACCTCTCTACAAATGACAAAAGTTCAATTATCAGAACAGAGCGATTTTATCTATTTCAGGCTGTATTGTTTAGTCAAAAGAATACAATAATAATAATCTAAGTAGTAGAAGTTATGCTTTAGTTTTCGTTTATTTTTTTCTGGGGGTTAGAATTATAATATTCAGTTCCTATAAAACTGAACAGTCAGACTACTCCCACATGATTTGATTAATGTACAACAAGGGCTCCAAACAGCTCTTATCAGGTTTTGAATTCAGAAATGTCCTCCTCCTAGACCAGCTGCCAAGACTAATGAACCCAGTCTCTCCTATTTAACCTGTAGTTGAAGAGAGCAGAGATTGATTCATAAGGGTACTTTTGCACATAAGTGAATATAATGAACTCAACTGAAATTCAAACCCAACTTTCCAGTTTCTTGTTCTAAGCTGCCATCAATTACACCTTCCACACACAAGTGTGTGTGTGTGTATGACAATCATAGCAAAAATCATGTTTTAATTTATTGCTTTTTTAACCAGCTAACCTGGTCATTTTGTAACATTTGCTTGGTACAATAGTGAATTCAATTTTTTTAGTGTACATTTGCTTAACCAGATACTAAATTTCACAATTACTCAAGAATCTTTTATTGCTGAAGGATTTTCTTTTCAAATAATGCCTAAGAAATTTATAGACATTAACCTTTAGCATTCTGCATTATTAATATTACTTCATTTTCCACTGCATTCTTTGTCAAGACCTCAATTGCAGTAACCGGAGTGTTACTTTCACTCAAAGGTGTTTTCTGTTGCCATAGCAGGATATGGCAACACAACTATGAAATTCAAATTCATGGATGAGAGTCACCTTCAGTAATAGGATAAACTTTTTGCACAGCAAATGAAGTCACTTAAAGATTGACTTCAGTACAGATTAATGGAAAAAAAAAAGAAAATCCTTGAGCAATAAAAGCAGTTTGTTTTTTTAAACTTAAAATGTCCACAAGAAATAAGCATTGACAACTTTGTAGGTGTAACTGATAGCTTGTTAAAATAAATTATAGGAAAGAGTGGAGGACAGTATTTCTACAAGCTTAAAAATGGTTTCATTTGTTGCAAATCATAACTCAAATGATCAGAAGTTTAGTCATTGGCAAACTTCTCAAAACGTCTATTTTTATAAACTGAGATCTGAAAGACATTTTACTCTGTTGTTGGTATTCAAAAAACGGATTAATTTAAATGAGAGTGGCCTTTGCATAACTTAACATCACATAGGGTCCAATGTCTAGAACAGAATGAAAACAAAAACACATGCATACATGATTATCTCAATGTAAAAGATTTTTGATTTCCAATTATTTTACAAAAACACACACATACATAAAAAAAGTGTACAGTAGTTCAAAAAAGCATTAATGGCTTTAAAAAGAAAAAAAAAAAAAAAACAATTTAGTTAGCTACATATTTACCTGTTGCTTTTATTGATTACCAATACTAAGTTGTAATGATGCTGTATGTACATACTCATAAATAATTGAATGTCATAAAGTCAACTGCATATCATAATGTATTGGAAGAATAGCCAGAGTTTCAAGCTTTTATTAAAAAGCCATGG